CTCGTCGTCCCTCCTCTACGGTCGTCTCCTTGTCTCGTCTGTCGGACTCTTCCTCACGTCTGTGAGCGTCGTCGTCTCGGGGGGCGGATAACGGAGGGGTAAGCCGGAGAGCCGAGACAGAAAAGGAAGGAGAGAGAGAGGACGGTGATGATATGTAGTGGCCCTGGGGCTGCTTCTGAAGGCAAAAACAGTCCGATTTTAAATTCGGGAACTTCTTCATGAGTCCCTCGGGGCATTTAAACTCGAGGGGGGAAACCACCTCGTCGATCCGAATGCATCTGTGACCTGAGGGGAGGCGCAGCATGGATGCCTCGCAGCCCTGATCCCCCAGGAATGAGAAAAACACCTTGTTCTGAACCAGATCTACTACTGCACCTAGAGCCTCAATCAAACCTATTGGCATCAGTGGGGGTATGTCACCCTCCATCACGTCTAATTCGATGATTCCCATGTGCTTACCTATTCCAGAAGGTAGTAAAACGCTGCTCACAACACGAGCTGAACCGCCTACTCCCCGGGCTGAGCTGTTTCGGGCTGGTAACTGGACGGACCGATACCCTTTCTTTGCCATATGCTCATCGAACAGTGCCAAGGCGGACTGGCCTATCAGGCCTTGTCCAGCAGCCGTGTCTACCACGATGCATCCGGGCGGCACGGGCAAGCACGCCTTCCTGGAAGCCTCCAAGGAGACGTCGTTCCTGCCGAGCACAATGGACAGAGCGCCGTCCACGAGTCTCGCCGCCTCGAGCTCCACCAGCAGCGTGAAGGAGTTGCTGCCACCGGAGTCGTTCAGAAAGATGAAGCCCGTGTTGCGACCCCCGCGCGGCCCGGCCTCCTTGTTGGACGCCTGCGCCGCGCCGGAGCCACCAGCCTGCGGACACTCATTGCCCCAATGCCCTTTTTGTTTGCATATCCTGCACCGCGTTCTTTTCATGACTTCTGAGAGAGGCATCCTGCTCTTCCTCGGCCTCACCTGCCCGTCCTGACCTCGGTGGCCCTGGTCTCGGGATCGATCAGGACGAGGCGGCGGTGGAACGCCGTCTGGAGGCGACCGAGGGAAGTACTTGCGGCCTGTGCGTAACTGTCTCTTGAAGTCGCGGTTCTGCTTCCATGTTTTTCTCCTCTGCGTCTGCATCTCCACTAGCACCTCTGGCACCTCTGTCTCGCAGAGGTCCCGGCTCTCCAGCGCGGCCAGGAGAACGATCTCGTCGTTCGTGCACATGCTGGAGACGTCGTCGTAGTCAAGCAAGTCGTCGTCCTCGTCGTCCTGCGCCGTCTGGTAGCTCGCCGAGCCGCCGACGCCGGTGGCCAGAGTCTCCGTCAGCATGGTCCTCATCTTGCTGGTGGCCAGCGTCTCTTTCTTGGTAATGTCCAATTCCCGAAGCGCCCTGATGGTGGACGAGTAGTCGTTCTTGTCTCCCGTGAGCACGCGCACGAGTTGGGCACTATGATCGTCAAGAGAAGCTCCTTCTTCGACAAACATCTGTTTCCAGTCATCTGGAACTTCCATCCCTTGAACTCGAAGCTTATCAAATTGAAGATCAAGACGCGCTGTGAACTCCGTGAGTGTCTCATTGGGTCTTCTCTGAAACTGAAGTAGACACTCGCGGGCCGTTTTCCTCCTTTCATCTCCTCTTCTCTCACCTGACAGCACGTCCAAGTAGTCCAAAATGGCTCGGACGCCCCCACTGCTGGTCAATATATCATCTGTCAAGTGTTCTAACTTTCGTTGAAGCTCCACTCCAAGAGCTTTCATTACTTTGTCTGCGCGACGAGCCACTGCGACGTCCGTGCTCGATTCCCATCTCACGATTCTTCGACGCCATAGCTTGAAATCGGGCCAGCCCATCCACGCTTCAGGATCCGTGTAGTCTCCTCTTTCCTTCCCGTCGGTCTTGCCCTGCCACTCGGATGGAGAAGACCACCACGAATCTGACCATCTGGTCTGCGGCGCCCACCATGACGCCGAGCTACTCTCGTTCCAGGCATACCACTTCTGATCCTCCGAAGTGTCGGCCTTCTTCCACGGATCTGTCACTGGGTCCGTGTGCCACACGTCGTCCTTCTCGCCGTAGCCCTGAGCTCCTGAGCGGCTCCTCCATTGTCCTTGCCCCTCGCCCTGGTCCCCACGCCAGCGCTCCCCAGAGGCTTCACAATGGTCACCGTTCTCTGCTCTCGGCTCCCATGGTCCGCTCGACCACCAACCCTCTCCTTGGCCGGTGGGAGCTGCGGACTGCGGACCGGCACCTCTAGCACCTCGCAGCTCTTCCCGCACGACTTCTCGAATCACGCGGGCCAGCTCCGACATGCTACCATCCGTTCCAACCTTGCTGAATCCGCGATCACTCGCGGTCGGTGTCCGTGGCGGACTGGACTCGCCGCCTTCCTTGAGCTGAGCACCCTCCTCGGCGTCCTCTGTCCGCTCGGTGCTCGCAGCAGCCATCGGAGGATTGAGCGGAGGCGCAGCAGCGTGAGAGCTCCCCGGACCGGGCGTGGTCGAGGAGCTCCGCTACCACTGTCAAACGAAACCTCCTCCTGATAGGCTCTGACTGCGAGTGAGCGGCGGTAGGATGACACGTTTATCTCGCCGAAGGCGCGTCAGCTACTAAAGGTGCCTGTAAGCCAAAAGATGATGACACAAATATACAACAGAGCATGACACATGCACAAGCAAAGGATGGAATAACAAAGAGGTTTAATCTCATAGGGACACACTGAATTCACACAACTCGAGGCGTCCTCGTGGGATCGTCATGCCCAAGCTGGTCACCCAATCCGGGGCCCCAGGCGACGAAGTTGGCCTTCCCTGGTCTTGCCTCCTGAGCCCTTGGCGGGCCCCAGACGGCCGTCAGGGGCCCAGATCTCCAGGGAACCACGGCTGTGGCAAAAGCCACGGTGCCCAGACGTGCTGGAGAGAGGATGACGAGGAGGGAGGCGGGGATGCGAGGGGAGGAAGGAGGGGATGCGGAAGGGGGGCGGCCCCGCACCCCCCCCCTCCGTCGTCTTGCTCCCTCGTGCCCCTTGTTGCGCTCCAGGGAGGTGAGGAAGATAAGCGTCGTTCTCCTTCTCTTTCCCGGGCCTCCTCCCCCCCCCCCCCCTCCTCCTCCTTCTTCTCCTCTTCCTCCTCCTCCTTCTCCCTCGCCTTCTCCACCTCCTTCTCTTCTCCTCCTTTTCTCCTCCTTTTCTCCTCCTCTTCCTCCTATGTCCTTCCTCCTCATCCTTATCCTCTTCTTTTCTACTCTCCCCCTTGTCTTATCACTTGGGTGAAGAAGCTACCTGCCTTTTGGAAGACGATGAGGGGGACAGGGATGCGGGGAATGAGGAAGGGGAGCAGCATGAGGAGGGGACGAGGAGAACATAATAGGATACAAAACGGTCAAGATGAGGCATGAGGAGAGGATCAAGGGGTACGGAGGACTATGACGATGACGGCACGATGATGATGCGTCTGCTGAGGATGAGGGAGAGGAGAGATCGTCTTATGACATGTATCTAGTACCGCAAACTTTCAGAATAAGGATGGCCAGAGGGCCTTGAAACTCCGCGGACCCCCCGAACGCCTGCACCCTCTTGAACCTTCATCAACTTTCCCCTCCTTCCTGTTCTTCTTCTTCTCCTATAACACCTCGTCGTCCTTCTTCCTCGCCCTTGTCGTCGTCGTCGTCGTCGCTGTCGCTGTCGCTGTCGTCGTCGTCGTCGTCGTCGTCCTCCTCCTCATCATCCTCCTCCTGCTCCTCTTCCCCCTGCTCCTCTTGCTCCTCCTCCTCCTCCTCCTGCTCCTCCTCCTCCTCGCCCTCCTTCTCCTCCTGCTCCTCCCCCCTCTAGAAGAAGGCGTGAGGAGGAGGAGGAGGAGGAGGGGAGGAGGAGGAGGAGGAGGCGTGAGGAGAAGAGGAGGAGGAGGAGGAGGAGGAGGAGGAGGAGGAGGAGGAGGAGGAGGAGGAGGAGGAGGATTAGAAGGAGGAGGAGGAGGACCAGTGGGAACCCAAGAGTCATCAACGATGTTGGAATGAATCCTCCCTCCAAGCTCCTCTTCATAGACCACTACAACGTTTCATTTCCATTGAGGGAACTGCCTCGTTGGAAGGCAACAGTTTGAAGATCCTGAAGCGTACCAGAACAATGTTCTCGGGATTTCAACGCCACGTATCAACCTGACTGCTGCGTCTTGACGATCCAGAATCGCGCCAGAACGCCATTTTGGGGACTTCAACACAGCGGATCAACATAATTATTGCGCTCGCATAATCTTGAATCTTTCCCACATACCATTTCTGGTACGCTGATCATGGGAATCCGTGAGACTCTTGCAAATCCGAAAAAAAACGAATGCGCGCGGCGCTAAAGCGAGAGCCACATTTTGAAAAGGAGCCGCCCTCAATCCGTGAAGCTCTTGCAATCCTTTTAACCGAATTTGCGCGGCGCTACAACGAGAGCCACATTTTGAAAAGGAACCGCCCTCAATCCGTGAAGCTCTTACATATTGTTTCAACGAGTGTGCGCGGCGCTAAGGCGAGACCGACATTTTGAAAACCACCCGCCCTCCATCGGTGAAGCTGTTGTCACATTTTAAGCTTCAAGATCATAAATGGTGGGAAAGTCTCAGGCGAAACGCCCGGCCCGCCCTAAAAACTGGCCTCGGGGTGCGACAGGGAGAAGTTATCTATAAGGGGAAAGAATGGAGAAAGCGTGAGGAGAAGAGGAGGAGGGGGAGGAGGAGGAGAAGGAGGAGGAGGAGGATCAGAAGGAGGAGGTGCAAGAGGAAGAGGAGGAGGAGGAGGAGGAGGAGGAGGAGGAGGAGGAGGAGGGGCAGGAGAAGGAGGAGGAAGAGGAGCAGGAGGAGGAGTAGGAGGAGGAGGAGGAGGAGGAAGAGGAGCAGGAGGAGGAGGAGCAAAAGGATTCGTTCGTTCGTCTTCTTCTTCTTCTTCTTCTCTCCTCCTCCTTCTCCTCCTCCTCCATCTCCTCCTCCCCCTTTCTCCGCCTCCTCAGGACGGAAGCGGGTCCTCCACGCGGCCCCGCTCGTCGTCGAACTCGGCCATGACCTTGTCCCACGTCTGCCTGGACAGAATGCGCACCTGCCGCAAGCAGGGCGTGGGATCGGTGCCGAAGGAAGGAGGGCAATTAGGGGAGAGAATTACAACCTCGTCCTCCTGCATCCTCCTCCCTCACCTCCTTTTCCTCGTCCTCCTGCCTGCTCGTTCCCTCCTCCTCCTCATTCTCCTCATCCTCGTGTCCTCTTACTCCTCCCTCCTCCTCTTCCTCCACCTCCTCATTCTCCTCCAGTGAAGACGAGGAGACGTATGAGGGGGAGGATGGCGGACCAGAGTAAAACCAGCAGGCAGCAGGCGCCAACGACTCTGCAATACACCCTCTGGTGACAAGCCCCCTCCTCATAAGTTCCCATAACTATTCCATTCCATTGCGGGAATCGCCCCCCTTGAATGACGAGCGCCTGGTGGGCTTACCACTCAGGCGAGACCCCCGTTTTGTAAATGATGCACCCTCCACCCATCTTGCCAGAAGAAAAGCAGAGAGGCAGGATTATAACGCTCACGGGAGTATCCAACGATAGCCACACAGTCAGGGCGGAAGGAGATGGTGTGTATACACACATATATATATATATATATATATATATACACGCGTATTCATAATACATACATATAAATATCGGAGGTTGGGGGGGTGAGATCGAAGTTGAACGGAGAGCCCCCCACTGGGAAATCGGTTTCTATTTCGTGTTCGTGCGTGCCGTGCGTGCGGGCGAGGCGAAGCTGCGTGGGCGGGCGAGAGGAAAATCTCCTGTGGCTGAGGCGCGGCCGGACCAAATGATTCTCCCTCCGGCAAGCGGTGGCCCGCAGAGTCCCGCCGGTGTCCCGCTTGTGGCTGGGTCCCGGCCGGACCAAATGATTCTCCCTCCGGCAAGCGGTGGCCCGCGGTGTCCCGCCCGTATCCCAGTGTTCCGCTGGTGCGAAAACGATAGTGAGACCGATGACGAAATCGATTGTGAGATCGATAGTGGGATCGATAGTGAGATCGATAGTGAGACCGATAGTGAGATCGATTGTGAGATCGACAAGGAGATCGATAGTGAGATGAATAGTTACATCGATTGAGATCAACAGTGAAATCGATCGAGTGAGATCGATAGTTAGATCGATCGAGTGATATCGATAGTGGGATCGATGGTCCCAAGAGCGAGCGGCAACGCAACAATCACCACTGTTGCCCATTGCTGGCCACCCTCCCCCCCAACCTCCTTATCACCCGCAGGGTGGTCGTATAGGTATATCTATATCTGTATATATACACATATATATAGCGAGAGAGAGAGAGAGAGAGAGAGAACACAATTACCCTGGCGACGTACCCAACCCTTGCGCAATGCGGGGCATAAGTACATCAGGATTGCTACAACGGGGGCGATGACGTAACATGGACGCATGTGATTTTGCGAGCAGCAATCGGAAGGCTCGCAGGCCCCCGATCAAGATCTAAGGGCTACGTAATAACAAATTACCCCCGTTGACTGTGCCATGCGACCGTTGCACCCAACGTATCCCGCAGCAGCTCTTGGGAGCCCCCGCGGGATACGTGTAGGCGAAACGTTATGGCCATCGCCCGGCAGATGGTCTGTTTCACAAATCACCCACGATGGCTGTGCCGTGCGCCCGTTGCGCCTAACGTATCCCACGGCAGCTCTCCAGAGCCCCCCCCAGGGACGGCGAGGTCCCGCTCAATCCCCGCGGTGCCACCAGCAGCCCTCGAAAGTGGCGACACTGTCGCAAATCGCAGCCCCCCAAGGACGGCGAGGTCCCGCTCAGATCCCCGCGGTGCCTGCCTCACTCCGCAGGACCCACCAGCAGCCCTCGAAAGTGGCGACAATGTCGCAGATCGCAGCCCCCCAGGGACGGCGAGGTCCCGCTCAGATCCCCGCGGTGCCTCACTCCGCAGGACCCACCAGCAGCCCTCGAAAGTGGCGACAATGTCGCAGTTCGCAGCTCCCCAGGGACGGCGAGGTCCCGCTCAGATCCCCACGGTGCCTCACTCTGCAGGACCCACCAGCAGCCCTCGAAAGTGGCGACAGTGCAGCAAATCGCAGCCCCCCAGGGACGGCGAGGTCCCGCTCAGATCCCGAGGAGGGAGGAGGAGGAGGGGGGGGAGGAATATGAGGAGGAGGAGAAGGAGGAGGAAGAGGAGGAGGAGGCAGAGGCCGAGGCGGAGGAGGAGAAGGAGGAGGCGGAAGAGGAGGAGAAGGAGGAGGCGGAGGCGGAGGCGGAGGCGGAGGAGGAGGAGGAGGAGGCGGAGGAGGAGGAGGAGGAGGAGGAGGAGGAGGAGGAGGAGGAGGAGGAGTACAGGAGGAAGAGGAGGAGGCGGAGGCGGAGGCGGAGGCGGAGGCGGAGGATGAGGATGATGATGAGGAGGAGGAGGAGAAGGAGGAGGAGGAGGAGGAGGAGGCGGAGGCAGATGAGGAGGAGGTGGAGGAGGTGGAGGAGGAGGAGGAGGAAGATAATGAGGAAGAGGAAATCGTCGTCGTCGCGGTCGCCATTGCCGTAGTCGATGTCATTGGGGCTTGGCAGCCTGGCAGTGGGTGAGGGGCACCAGCGTGAAGGCCAGCTGTGCCGGCGCCCCAGCCAAGATCTGCTCGTTGTAGCACTGCCCGGCCGTAAGGGTCGCCGAGGCCTCCGCTCTCGCAGGCCGCCCCCCCCACCCCCGAGGAAGAGGAGGAGCGCGCCTGGGGAGCGCCCGCGAGGGCGTCTGGACAGCGCCTGGGGCGCGCCTGGGCGCTGGGCAGGGGGGGACCCCCTCTCTCGAGGAGGGGGGCAGAGGGGGGAGGAGCGAGAAGGCTCTGGTATCCTCTCGGCGCTAAAAGATCACGGCGGACAGCTTTGGGCCGCTGCCAGCTTCCTGGGGCCCTCGCCAGGCTTCGAGACGCGCTGGGGCATCTCGATGGCGGGCCGACCCTCCGCAGTCGTCCGCACACGCGTTTGCCCGTCGGTGGCCTCCCCCGATTGTCCTGCCACCAGGCTGCGGCTGCAGAGTAGAGGACCTGCCAGAGCATGGAAAAGAACAAATGTACCAGATGCCCTCCCTGAGGAGCTCTCAGAGGCCTTCTAGGATGCCTTCCTAGGGCCCCCAAACGCGCCCTTCTGGAGTGCGCTCCTACGGGCTCTTTCCGAATGCAGATGGCGTTTAGGATGGAGCACGATCCAATCTTTCTGGACCTTGAGTCCGTCCAGCGGCTTTACCTCGGACGGGCCTGATCCCGATCCAGTCCTCTTTATCGCGAATACCATTTCCCTCTACTCCCGTTCTCCTCCCACTCCCGCTCCCCGCTCCCTCCTCCCACTCCCCTCCACTCCCTCTTCACTCCTTGCCCCCCTCGCCTCCCAGGCCGATCAATGCCGTACCGCCCTCCCCCTGCAAAAAAACAGCGCGGGCACGGCAACGCGGTGAAGCTCCCATGCCCCCGCGCGGTGTGTGTGTGTGTGTGTGTGTGTGTGTGTGTGTGTGTGCGTGCGTGCGTGCGTGCGTGCGTGCGTGCGTGCGTGCGTGCGCGCGCGCGCGCGCGCGCGTGTGTGTGTGTGTGTGTGTGTGTGTGTGTGTGTGTGTGTGTGTGTGTGTGTGTGTGTGTGTGTGTGTGTGTGTGTGTGTGTGTGTGTGTGTGTGTGTGTGTGTGTGTGTGTGTGTGTGTGTGTGTGTGTGTGTGTGTGTGTGTGTGTGCGTGCGTGCGTGCGTGCGTGCGTGCGTGCGTGCGCGTGCGTGCGTGCGTGCGTGCGTGCGTGTGCATGTGCGCGTGTGTGTGTGTGTGTGTGTGTGTGCGCGTGTGCATATATATATATATATATATATATATATATATATATGTGTGTGTGTGTGACACCGCGAGGGGACCCCCACTCCGCGCAGACGCTCTCCTTTTTTGCGCAGGCCGCTGGGCGCGCTCCGCACCCGCGGCGCTTCGCCTCCTCCTCCTCCTCCTTCTCGATCCTCTTCCCTCTCCTTCTCCTCCTCCTCCTCTTCGATCCTTCTCCTCCTCCTTGATCCTCCTCCTCCTCCTCCTCCTCATCCTGGATCTGCCTCAACGGATCTTCCCCAATGCGCCTCCTCATCGATCCTCCTCTATCCTGCTCCTCCTCCTCCTCCTCCTCCTCCTCATCCTCAATTGTTGTTGATCCTCCTCCTTGATCTTAGACCTTCGATCCTCGATCCTCGATCCTCCTCCTCCTCCTCCTCCTCCTCCTCCTCCTCCTCCTCCTCCCCTTCGCACCTCACGATTCATGGCGCGCTGGGAAAGAGGATTTCGGTGTTAGACGTGCAAAGAAGCGCTTGGGCCGATTCTTCTGCCCGACTCGGAACCCTCCCCCACGCTTTGCCAACGAGGCATGCTGACGGGCTCGACCTCCCAGTCGGAGCCGTGCACTCTCACGCACGCTTCCCTGGGGCCTGCTGTGGCCAGGGCTGCAGCGCCTGGACTCTGGAGCCAGGCACGGGGCGAACGGCCTCCCAGCGGCCCGCGCGCGGCCCCTCCTCCATTCTTCAGCGCGTGAAGTACCTACCCCGCTTTCGCTTCCAGGCAAAACCAAGTCCTACCACGCGCCTCCTCGTCAAGCGGCCTGACCAGTACAGGCCGTAGTTTGGCATCGCTTGGTATCTCTTGGAAGCGAGGGTGGCCAAAAGCGAGGTAGGTTTGTTTGCCCCCTAATTCTAGGGGAACAAAAAGTGTCATAAATATAAAATCTCGGAGGTCCGCGTGGATTTCTCGGATCCGCGCTGGACCCCCCCCTGGCGGCGCCTCCGGCGCCGCCCCTGGCGCGCTCCGCGCGCCGGGGAGGGGGGTCCAGCGGCGATCCGAGAAATCCGCGCGGACCTCCGAGTTTTTATGTTTATGCTACTTTTTGTCCCCCTAAATTCGCATCGGCACCCATCCGTGCGTTTCCCGGACACCGGCAAGGTCCGCTGCGGAGGGTGCAATCGTTCGGCCTGCACCGAGCTCCCGCTCCGCCCTCCTCGGCATCGCTCGCACGGGCTGTGCGAGCCCACGGCCGAGCGCAGGCTCGGAGCTGCCCTGCATCTGGAAGATGCCATGCGCAGAGGGCGTTCTTTCCACGAGGGAAGCGGACGCCACAGTGGGGCTTGCGCTCCTGGCCGCGTCCGCCCTCCACGTCGATAGGGAGGAGGCCGAGTCGGGTGAGCCGCCTGAGAGCGTGGTCGTGCCGATCCCTCCCATCGACGTGAGCTGCTTCTCCGGACGAGGCCACAAGCTGGTGCAGGTCGGGCATGCGCTCGTCTGCCGCTGCTGTGCTTCCTTCTCAACCCGCTTGCGCGTGAGCCCAAAGTGCAGGCCTCGATCGGAATGCCTGGGCTTCTCGAGGGAGCGGTGCCCCAAGAAGGCACGGGTGGCTGCTCTGGTCAAGGTGCTTTCGGGGGTCCACCCCAAGACGGGCGCGTCGCTCGTCTCCCCTCTCCACCCCGATTCCTCGTCCCCTGTTCCTCCTCCTCCTCCTCCTCCTCCTCCTCCGCAGCAGGAGGTGATGGGTTAGTCCCCGCCGCTTACCGTGGCGTAGCGGCGCGCGGGAAGCCATGCACCCTGCGCAGTGTAGCGCCGCGCAGGCAGCCCACTCGGGCCAGGCCTGCTGGCTTTCTCGCTCGACCGCCCCGATTCGGTTTCGGTGGCTTGGGTCAACGCCGCTCAAGTTTCTCGGGCGTTTTCGGTTTTGCGTTGAAGACTCGATTTGGGTTCTGGCTCCTCCTCCTCCTCCTCCTCCTCGATCACCCGCCCCGCTGTGGAAGAAAGACCACCCCTCCCCTGGCCCGGGCTGGGAAGCCATGGCGGCCCGCCTCCGCGCAACCCCGCGGGGGTGGCCCAGGTCCTCGCTGGATGCCGCCGAGAGCGGCCGAAGGCCGTGGAGGGCCGCCGAAGGTCCCCGCACAGAGAGGTCGAGCTGCCGCGGGGTCGGGCGGCGCGCGCGCGCGCCTGCTCGCCGCGCTCGTCGAAGAGCCCGACCTCCCCGTCCACGAGGAGCACGGCCGCCTGCGCGGTCGTCTCTGCGCGGCCGGCTTTGCGCGAGCTGGTCGGCTCGGTTCGGTGCGGCTGCACGTGAGTGACCCTGGGCAAGGGCGGCCTTCGGTGCGCGACTTTCGGGGGCCTCGGGGAGGCCGGAAGGGAACGCGCAAGCCGCTGCTTTCGCATCGCGTGCAGCCATCTTGAGGCCCCAGTGCGCCCTAAAACAGGGCTAAGATCGGGATAAATCGCTCCAGAGCGTTCCGGAGCGCTCTCAGAGCGTTCCGGAACGCTCTGGAGCGGCCGCGGCGCCCAATACATCCTCCAAACCCGCCGATTCTCAGAGATTTCGAATTATCCCGATCCGATTTTGTCCCGATCTTCGCGTCGTTTTACGACCGCACCAGAGGTCACTAGAGCGACCGGTCACTCTTACGTATTGCCGATCGGCTTGGCCTGCGCTGCCGGCTCCGACGGGAGGCTCCAGGTCTCCCCCTCTCTCTCCCAGGTGCGGCGCACGGCGTTGTATTTATTTCTCTCTTGTTGTGTACAGGAGCAGCAGCGGCCACCCCAGAGGGCCGTGCCGCACTCCAGCCTGGCCGCCCAGACGTCTCCGCGTCTGCTGGCGGGTCGTGACCATTACCACGCACGGGATGGCCCTGCGCGAACTGCTTAGCACGGAAGAGACGGGCCCCGAGGGAAACGGGCCCTGAGCCCCGGGGCCTTCCCCCAGGACCAGCTCGTCATCCCAAGTCCTTGTCTGACAATCCTGGGGCCCTTGGACCTCTTTCCTTCACGGCGAACTGTTCGGTTCGGTTCGGTCTTTGTGCCGGCTCCAGTTGCCGGGAGCAGTCCCCGCAGTGGCAGCCGGCGCGGTGCTCCGAAAGGGGAAATACGCAGCTGCATGGTTGGAGACATGTCACAGCTCTGGCTCACCGGCGGAGAGAATTGCCCTATCTCTAAGATTCCTGCCTATTCACCGTCTGGCCTCTGCGCGAGTTGGGGACGCCTGACCTCGCGCAGCACGCCCCGCGATGTGCGGCGTGCGGTGCCCAAACATGCTCGCGTCGTGCAAAAGAGAAGGGTGGGATGTTCTTCGTCGTTTTCGGCCTGCGGGGGCCCTCGCCGGGCCTCGGGACCGCCAAACCGACTCGGGATGAAACGCTGGCCCTGGGGCCCTGGGGCAAGGGTCGGCACTTCTCTGGGGACCGCGTATGGAAAACATCAAGGCATCCTCGCGCCATCGCGCCGCCCCCTCGAGAAGGCCAGCTCGGCGGCCCCTGCCGCCACGCGCGGGAATCCTCGCGCCACTGGGGGCGACCTGAGTGAGGGTGGTCTTCTCCAAAGGCGACCTTTGGTGTGCGCGCTGCTGTCTGGTGCAGCTCCTCTGGGCGCCGTCGGGAGCGCTGGAGGGTCCTCCCTCGTGGCCAGCCCTCCATCGGGGATCGCAAGATTGTAGTATCCATCTCTGCACTTACTTATCGGATGCTCCCTCTCTCATTGTCCTCTTGCGTCTCGTCTTGCCGTCTCCCATCGAAGTCCTGTCCATAACCACCTAGGCTCTGGCTCGCGAGTGGCACAACGGTGCTCTGATCGTTCGCTGAGGCCCCGTTGCAGAGCTGGGTGGGCGTATCCAGCACGGTAGCCGAGAAGGAACCCTACCACTCCTTCTTCTCGCCTCCTGCGCAAGCACACTGCGCTCGTCCGCGCCCTGGCGCCGCGTGACGGCGCGGGCAATGCCCGCGCCCGCAGACCAAGAGAAAAGCAGGGGTCCAGGCCCGTGCCAGAGAGGCAAGCGCGCGGACCACCGCGTTCGGGGGCGGCCAAGAGGGGGGCGTCCAAGAGGGGGGGGGGCGCAGATCATGGCCGGCGGCATGTGCGCGGCCCAGGGGGGGGGGCGGGAATGTACGTAACGAAATCAGAAGAGGCGCCATGAAATCTGAGGAAGAGGAAATAACGTGGCCCACGCCATGATCTCCCCCCCAGTCCTCCCCCCCCCCCCCTCTTAGCCGCCCCCGACGAGCGCGCTCGCGCGTGGGCTCTTCGGGGGCGGGGCACGCTGCGCCCACGATGAAGCTCGTCCCTGCCGGCCGCCGCCTCTGGCACGAAGGGCCGTCGCGCGCGTTATTGCGTGTGCCGAGTGCCGCCCTTCCCTTTTTTTTTTTTCTCCCTTTCGCTGCGGGGTCCCCAGTAGTATCGATCTACTCCTGGGGACCAGACTCTCCTCCTGAGTGGGTTTTTCGGACAGCCCTGGGGCCGATGGAGGGCCCCCAAAGGCCGAACGTGGCAACAGAAACCGCCAGTCGTCGTTTTCACGACGCGAGGGTGGCTCTCGCGCGTGCCGAGTGCAGCGCATGACTTGCGTGCGCAGTCTCCCGGAGTCGAGGCCCCGGGCACTTCCTGTACTTGCCGCAGCCTGGCCGGCCGCCCCACCACTCCCAACTTTCGGGGATCTTCTGACCCGGGTCAATCCAGACCCAAGTCAGTCAGGCCTTGCAGAATCCTGCAAGATCCTGCGCCCAAACCTGGGTCAATGCGAAGGATCCTGCAAGATCCTGCAGGCTCCTGCACCCAAGCCCCGGGGTCAGTGCGACCCTGTTCCGGCAGGATCCTGCAAGATCCGTCGCTCTGGCTCACCCCCGTTGACACTGACCCACCGTCTCAAAAGGCTCCCGAAGCTTGCTGCCAGTGAAAGCCTGGGCCCCAGCACACACGCACAAGACCCTCACGATCTGAGCGTGCCCCACCGCCCACGGCCTCGGCCTCCCCCCCCCACCCCTCCGCGCCTCTCCCGCTCCCTGCTGTGCCCCATTGGCCGGTTCGAGGGTCCTCGGAGCGTGCGTTAGCGCCAGCGTGTGCTTGCCCACCGGCGCCGGCGCAGTTCGGCGCATTGGGTGTCCGTCGCAGCGCGGCAGAGGCGGTCCGCACGCGCGCTCGAGTTCGCTGGGAGAAGGCGAGCCAGTTGTCGCGCAGGGCGGCCGCAGGGCCAGGAGGAGGAGGAGGAGGAGGAGGAGGAGGAGGAGGAGGAGGAGGAGGAGGAGGAGGAGGAGAGGAGGAGGAGGAGGAGGAGGAGGAGTCACTGCGCCAAGGCCATCACACACTGGTCTAACGCGGATCCTCGGGCAATGCGGCGCCTGCCTCGCCCCGCCCCCGCTTCGCCGGGCCGCGCCCTGCCCCCTCCCTCCTCCCTCCTCCTCCACCTCCTCCCTCCCCTTCCTCCTCCCTCCCGCTCCTCCCCCTCCCCCCTTCCCTTTCCTCCCCTCCTCCCTTCTCCCCCCCTCCCTCCTCCCCCTCCCCCCTCCCCCCTCCCTCCCTCCTCCCTCCTCCCCCCTCCTGCCTCCTCCCTCCCGCTTCCTCCTCCTCCTCCTCCTCCCTCCTCCCTCCTCCTTTCATCCTCCCCCTCCTCCTGCACCACTGTCCCCTGCGGCGGATTCGTGCCGTGACGGCTCCAGCGTTGGTTCCTGACCCGAGCGGATCGTTCAACCTTCAACGATCGGCGGCTTTTCGATAGCCAGATTGTTACGATTCTGGGCCACTCGCGGCGCTCAACCTTGAACGCTCGCGCTGGGCTCGCAACAACGTCGGTACGACGCGAACCTATCGTACCCTCCCCTTCTCCCCCCCGGCCCGGCGACCGCGCAAAACCGGAAGCCGACCGAGCCGGCAGCGAGACTGAGGCCGACGGGAGCCGAGTCGGGCGAACGCAGCTGCTGAGCAAGGCGCGGCGACGCGACAACGGCACGGTAACCGACAGGACCGAACCGACCAGATGCAACCGAGTGCAAAGCAGCCGAACCGACCGAATCGTGGACGCACCCTGCCCCACTCGGAAACCTACGCTACCATCCACCCTCCCGCAGCGGGCGCGATTGCAACAGAAGGGTGCAACAACCTTTGGAATCAAACGACAACTTCCTCGTATCAACTCGTGCAGTCGCTGGCGCAGCCGTGAACGTGCAGTCATTTCTACACCCCTGCTTAGAGTAAAGAACATTTTGCGCTAAGGAAATTGACATCACTCCAAGCGTTTACTTAAACAGTAGTCCAAGTCCAGATATACAAACGTTCTACGAAAGAAACCAAGTCCAAGAAATCGCCCAGGGTCCAGTCCGGATTCTTCTTAAACGAACTCTGTAGCCCAATGCGAACTCATGCTTTTTCGTAATACTCATGGTTGGTGCAGGGTGAGTGCAGGGAGGTGGCGGTGGTGGTGGTGGTTGGTTGGTTGGTTGGGACGCGATCGAACAACGTGTGCTAAAAGTGTATATACTTTTCGATTTGCGCGTGTCATCCTTGCGAAGGGGCCATGCTAATCTTCTCTGTATCGTTCCAATGTAAACGGATGGTGGTGGCGGTGGTGGTGGTGGTGGTGGTGGCGGTGGTGTGTGAGCAAGCGGCCCGACTTCCAGGAGGCTGCTAGCCCGGACACCCGTCGCTGTGCACAAAAGCGCGGTGCCGTGAAACACCTGCTCGAGCCAGAAGCCTCGACCTTGGATCACAAATGGGCATGACTTGCGATAGAGAGAGGGGCAAGAAAGGGCATCCAGCAACAACTCAGTACTGATTCGTGTGTTGCCAATTTCCCCCGTGCGGCCTTGTCGGGGCCTTCCTCAGGCCCAGGAAAGGAGGGAGAGAAGGAACGAGAGAACCAACGAGCGGGAGAATGGAGGGGAGGAGCAATAGTGAGGAGGGCGCATACGGAACGCGGCAAAACAACGATGTGGGGACGGAGGAACCGTAAGAGGTACGGAGGGCGGATATTATAGAGATGGGGGCAGGGCAAGACGGAAGGAGCTGGGAGAGGTTATGAGGACAGTGAAGAAGAGGAGGAATGAAGGGGGGAGGGAGGAAGCAGGATGGAACGAGGAGCGGAGGCAGAGCAAATAACAAAACATAATATCGACTCCCGCCGGAGGGAAGAGAAGATAATAGAGAGGGCCAGGAGGAAGACGGATTCAGGAGGGAGACACGGAAGAAAGAGGAAGGCACGGTAAGAACAGGAGGGCCTGTTCAAGGTCTCCTGGGGCATC